CTCACTCTAAATTCTGGATCCTTTTCTCAGCTAATCTGAATCTCAGCTCAATCTGCCATATTTCGACTCGAGAAACTGAGGTAAACTGTCAGCTCTGGGGACATCAAAATGAAAACTTAAAACTGTCCCGGGCCTAGGTCTTACCGTGCCACCTACGGTAATAGGGAAATTCACTAAAAAGTCAGTCATTATTTATTCTTCCAAACTAGACCCAGCCGCCCTTTTGATAAACTGTCTTGTATAAATAGCTGAACTGCTTGTCAGTATCACAAATTTTAGAAAAGAAATCGATAAGGATCATAAACATAAATACATTACGTCGCTGACCCGAATGTTATACTAACATTAGAAAAATGTTAGAGTAACATTCTAACACCATTTAGAGAGTTCCATTTAAGCAATGTTAAATAGTGTTTACTTTCGGGCCAGAATCATCATTTGTTTGAGTTTTATGATCCATACCGGGTCTGTTCTAGAATTCGTGGTGGACCCATACATTCAAAACTGTCTTTCATTTATCTTCGCATTGAAATATGCACTCTATCACTCTATCGGTGTCGTATAATTCAAACCAAATAAATGGACGTGTTGTACTCATGAGTATTTTCTCTGGAATTTAAATAAACTTAAAATTGTCTATACTTAAAATAAACATGCAACTAAGGTACTTGATTAACAATTTGCAGGGGATTTTACAATATACAACACGTTTGGCGTATATTATTAACGTAATATGTTAATATTGATTTTAAAACTATGATTCCTTTACTTAAGTGTTTCATAGCAAAAAAAAATGATAAGTAAATTTTTTCATAAATTAAATGTTAAACAATTCAATCAAATTAGTTGGCTAATGTTTTGAGCCAAACCCTGTTGGATAAAAGAATTGCAGGACAAAAAGCAGGGCTGTCTTTGAGTTTAACTTCAGATTTAATTTGAAGTTACGAAACAAGACAATATTCCTTGAACGGCTGAAGATTAATTATAATAATTTTAATTAGTTAGGAGTAACACGATATTTCCCTATACTCTTTTTTTACAATGAAGCATTCACAATGTGTTTTGCTCTTTAGTAAATGATTTCTTTGTTTTAAACCCGAGAAAGATTGGTTATGAAATTAACAATTGCAGTAACAATAATAATAATTCAATTATTTAATAGTAGTGAAGGGGTTTATTTTCATTATTTGTTCTGAAACCTAAAATATAAACAGTAGATTAAACAAAATAAACTATTTAACTGATTATAGATTTTACCATTCATGGATCAGCTGCCCAGCTGTACTATATGTGTAGCCTATTGCTTAACGATAAGTAAGTTTAAATGCTCACTACTTTGCTTGCCATTTCTTTCCAGTTACATTTCTAACTTAAATACCCCCGCCGACACAAACCTGCAGACTGTGGCTGGAGTTCCTCTAATTCTCTTAAAATAGTCAGATTTATTTCCTATTTAAATATCATTAATTTTAATAAGTAACTACTTGTTAAAATTACTACTATGTCTTTACTTTGACAAGTCTCCTTATTTATCCGAGTGTTTTGGTATTGTAAACAAGTTAACGTACCAAAATTCCCATTCAAAACCAATTTGACAAACTCATTTACAAAAATATTTGACTTTTAAAACAGCCACCAAAAGGTAAACAGCGATAATGTAATAAATTAGTCGGCAAGAGGGAAGGACAGAGAGGTAGTAAATGGCAATATAAATGTAAATGATGGCCTGTATGTCCTGAACATTGAAGAACGGCTAAAATCACATATTCATTCATCTACCAACAATGATGGCTGGCTTTATATTACTGAATATAAATATACCCCCACCGCAGCAATCCTACAGACTAGGTAAATTTGCATTTACCTAATTGGATTTTTACTCAAATATTTCCTATTTAACACGTTCACTGCGCAACGAGATCCCGAGGTCTCGTATCGTACATAGCCCAAAAAAAAAAAAACAGTTTTTTAAAATATATTTAACTAACTATTACCCCGTGCTTTGCAACGGGAAGAGGACACGAAATAGAAACATTTTGATCTTTACATCTGTGATAAAATAGTTACACATATGCCAACACTTTTAGAAACAAAATTTCACCTTTATGGCCTTTATAGGACATTTAAGACTTTTTGATCCGGTAAGTAGTGAATACCGCCATTTTGGTATTGATTAATTTTAAATCTTGTCTAGGCTGGTATGTAAAAATCTTAAAATATCATTTTCACATTCATGATTTACATTTATCTTTATGTTTTTTCTTTATTTTTTACTCTTTGAAATTCAATCTTGAAGTTTAAAAACTACTAGTAAGTAAATTTAAATGAAAAAAATTTTATGTCAATATTCTTTGAATTAAATCACAAATTCTTTCATCTTCACTCACAATATATCATTAGCAACACTAACATCAGCTGTTAAAAACTTAAAATATTGTTGTGCCTTATCAATTATCTTTTGAAATGTTAAAGAAACGACATCTATACTATAAAAAGTTGTAAATTATTATTTAGCATTAATGACGGCAGACAAAACTAATATGATTATAAAAACATCAAGGACTAAAAGGTTTAATAGTAAATCTCACTTCTCTGTGAGTTAATACAGTATAATATTCTTAGAATCAGTGATGCTATGACACATAACTCTGATTCGACTCTACAAAATTATCAACGAAAAACATAATATACAAACCAGTTATTTTATTCAGTTCTATAGTCCATTGCCTTTACATTTCTACACTTACCTTTGGTTAAGTAAACATATCAACAGATATTTCATTGATTTTAAAAAGCCTGTTTTGATTAAAATAATTATTATGTTATGGTCCTTATAATTGTAAACAAAATAGTGAAAGAGTGAAACTATTTAGTTAACATTAACACACATGACGCCAACACATACACTCATCAACAGGTTTGTAAAAGGATGATAAGTTTAATACACTGGTAAAATTTAATGGTTAAACCGTATGTTTCTGATAACCTTTAAAAATTAAAATTTATTTGACAGTGTGCTCAATTAGTCAACTGCTAATTTAAGTAGCAGATTTTACTCCCATTTGCATAATATCAATACTAGTTCTGCTAACAAAATAACTTATTTAGACATTGCCACACTCAACCGTTTCCACATTAAACGCACATCTATAAAGGGTTCAGATTTTTATTTCACAATAGAAACAAGAAGTCTACGTGCACTGTATTCCTATTTATATAAATCAATATTATTTTCTATCCAAAAAAATATTAATCGATACAAGCGCCTATATGTCAATGTTTCCAGCATGAATCATGCCTCAAAACCCAATATCTATTTCAGTCAATACTAAAACAATGTTTTTCTAATACCCTATTTCTAGCTTTATTTAAAAAAATTGGCTTGACAGTTGGCTAGTAGGTTAAAACAGCTGATTTAAAAGATTTTTCCTACAGTTACCTAACAATGTACATGTTCTCTCACTGATTTGAGAAAGCAAAGTGGCCATAACATTGTCTCACTCTAATTACTTTGTCTCACTCCAGATTTGCAACGTGAAGGCACGAAATAGTGAGCGCGTAACATGCAGGCAACGTCATGCGCACGAAATACGTTGGCAGCACTGGCTGTAAATCAGCTGGTCAGCTGTTATACTGTTGTATTTGTCACTTCACATTAAATGTTATATTAAAAGTTCACTTCTGTGTAAAAATAGGTTATGTTTCTTCACAAATTTATTTGTTTTATGGTAACTGTAGGAAAAGTATAATGTGCAACTCGAGTTCAAAGTACAATTGCCTCACTCGAGAAACCATTCCTCACTCGCCTAAGGCGAGTGAGTCAATTGCTCACTTTTCTCACTAGTTGCACAAATAACTATTGCTTTAGTTCCAGAGATAAAATAAATATAATCAGTAGGCTAAGACAGTGTACCTCAAATACAGTGGAAATGCCCTGTAATACTTTCTCTGTAATCTTTGAACAATGGTTATCACCTGAGGATTTTTTCCTTTGTGCTGTATCCATGTTGCATCCATGTTGTATTCTCGTAACCATAGCAACTCATAAGGCTAATGTTAAAAAAATATGTTTGTTTTAAATTGTAGAGACATTACCAAATTGAAAGTTATCTTTTTAATAACTTAAACACTGTTTGTCGAAATAACCCTGGAAAGTTTGGATTTAATGTTCAGCCTTTATTGAGTTGATTGATTTCTCAAATCAATTATATAGTCAACTAATCATTATGTTATTTTTCCAGCCCATGGGGAGGAGGGACCATCAATTGCATGGGATAAAATGGACCAACTCTCTGAGCAGAATATGTGAACCCCCCACTATCTGGAACATCAAAGACACTCAAAGAAGTTGAAGAAGAAAAGAAGATAGCTATGAGAAGATAGGCAGTGTTTCATCGCATATGATGAAGCAGTATAAAGTCATTGGGAATCCATGCACATATAAGGTCATCTCCAGGCCATACGCCTTGTCTCCAGGCTGCTCCCCTGGACTTGGTTGGCTAGCCTGGCTGGATCTTGGGAAGTTAACTACTAACTTACTGACATCGAATTAGGAATGTTCTGGAAGATCAGGGAAGTTTATGAGATATGCTATAAGGCATAGTAACAACGAATTTCTACTCACATACTGTTTGATGGTACATTGGCGGAGAGGCACAATCTTCATTCCCGAGTTTTTAAAGACATTGTATCTACAGTGTTAGCAAAACGGGAGTGCCGATGGAGACCAGGTCAAGTCCCTTCAAACGCACGCACCCCCACAGGTCTACATCGGCACTCCCGTCTTGCTAACACTATAATAAAGAATATTTAACTCAACACAAAACAAACTCTCTCACAATTCAGGGGTCTACTTTAGTAATCAATGTGTTATTAATTTTTTATATGAAACAAAATAAACTGGTAAGTCAATAGTACCCCAGCCACAGCAAACCTGCATACTAAACAAATTTCTGTTTCCTTTGATTTTCACTCAAATATATCCTTAAAAATATCAGCTTTAATTTTATGACAATATGCTTAATTTTATTATTACTTAAATTTGCTTAATTGTTTGGTTTTTCACTCACAACAAACTGTACTCCAAGTTAGTATTATGTTTATAATTACAACCACATGATATGTACCATATACCAAGATATGACTGCAAAATATGAAGGTATACCGATATTACAGCGCAATCAGTTTATTATGTATGATCAGACCCCACAATCAAGTTAAAGTACTTAAGCATATCACTATTGGGGTTGAGATGAGGGACTTCTTTAAACCTCTCATATCTGGTGGCAAGCAAGGCAGTAGTGTACAATGTTGTTGAAATCTTCAGATAAAGAGTCTTCTTGATTGCCTGAAGGGTGTAGTCTGGAGTGAAAGAAGCCTTTTTTAAAGCCTCGACACCAAAATGCCGGAAAGGTCCCACCTCAAAACTCAACTCCTCTAGACCAATCTTCACTTCCACTTCACCTTCCAAAATCATCACAAAGAAGTCTGCTGGGACTCCAGTGACATAAATAGTATCTTGAGGAAGTTTATTCCCACTGCTCGTATAGTATATATCCAGATTTAGCAAACTAATGAGTACTTTTGGAGACAAGTGTTTCATAGAAAACTCCTCGATCTCTGAAAGGAAACAGTAAGTTGCTAGTTTTACATTCTCAGAAGGTACGTTGGCCTTGGTTGGTTGTAATAGTAATGTGATTATATCTGTTTTTTGAGTAATTGAAATTTTTCTCTTTCCCCTATTGTCGGATACAGTATCTGTTTCGTCTAGAATTTCCATTTGAAATATTTCTTCAATAATGTCTTCAAAAGTTACTAAGCCGATGACATTATCTTTCCTCTTATCAGCGTTGTTTTCATCGTCAGTCACAAAAAGCATGTGGCGTCTACTATCCTTGAATGATTTAAACACTTCATCCAGAGAAGTTCCTTTTGAAACATAATGACAAGCAGAATTAGGGTTTTGGACAAGAACCTTTACAGGAATTTTCTCATCTGGGTCTAACAAGGCAAGTTCCTTGGTCAATAAAACATATTGGATATTCCACTTGTCTCCGACATATATAGGTACCCTTGAATATCCTGAGGCCAAAATTTCAGCAATCGTTTCAAAATTCATAACAGCAGTTATGGGTAATTTGAAAATATCGTTCAGATTTGTCATTACATCTTCAACCTTTTTGCTGCTGAAATCCAAAATTCCACTAATGATTTTCTCTTCATGAGTCGGTAAGTTGGTTTTCTTTAATAGCTCTTTCAGCCTTTCCTTGTTATAGCTTTTAGTCAGTTCTTTCCCCACAATAAAGTTTAGTATTTCACTAAGTGGATATGATACAGGAAACGTCAAAATCATGCATGTTCTAGTTATGTAGACAGTTTTAGCACCTATCTGTAACGGATAAGCCGAACAGATCGATTGTGGTAGGATTTCACAAAATAACACAATCATTAATGTGGTAATTACAACAGTTATTATATCAGAAAAAAATGAATCAGTCGCAACAGTAGAGACTGCATTGCATAGAGTAGCAGTGATTACAACACTGCAAACTAAGAAGTTCCCGTTTCTACGGATGGGTATAATCTTCCCAGCATATTTCCTCTCCTTGGGTGTTCCAGCATTCCTTAGCAACTGGAGTTCACTGTTGTCTAGTGACATGAGTCCAAGGTTCAAGCCTGTCATGAGAGAAGACAATATGTAGCAGACAATAATAATGGCGATGTAGCTCCAGGAGGTGAACAAAGGCTCCACAACATATAGCGTGACGTGTTTCCCAGTTCCTTGATGAATCCACATGCTATGCTCTTCTCCCCCATCCTTTAGACACGTGTAATACTTGGTCCTGGACCAAACTGGACGTTTTGAAGGAGGAGTGAAGGTCACAACACCACTAGAATTGCTCAGCCACACAACAGAGGGAATGGGATAGTCACAGTCGGTTTCACTTGTAAAGCCGATCTCTGAAGATGGAGTTAGGTTGTGGCCGAACAAATACAATTTTGTTGTATGGCTTGCATATACAATTGGAATGCCTTCTGAAGATTCAGGGCCTTGACACTCTATAGGTCTTATGGCAAATATTGTACTATCCTTTGGATGTTTAACACATTTTGTAACAATGCTACACCAATACAAAAACACAGTTAATTTTAGAATCAACATATCAGATAAAATGTTAAACAAATATTTATACTTTATTTTTTGTAAATAAATATTAACATTTTTACCATTCTAATTTGTTAGCCTATACAGGAATAAAAAAATAAAAGCTGGTATGAATGTGATTTATTCTCATGTGTTAAAAAATACAAGTCATATGTTTGGGTTTCTAGGCAGTGAAATAATTTTGAACAATGAATGTGGATACTATCATAGACTAACCAACACAAGTAGACTTCTCATCCCATTGTAAATTTTGAAGCTCATTTTTCATGACACATTTTGCATTGACACTGATCGCTAGTGTAATTTTGTTTACATTATATTAGGGTTAATATTTAATGATTTGTAATTTGCTGCTTGGTTATATAGCTACTAACTAGGGGAAAGTTATTGTTTATGATAAGATAATTTTATTTGGTTAAACGAGGTTTAAAATTACTGAAATACAAGAAACAAATTGTAAACAAAACAAGACCTCTACAGTGCACCGGACAAACTAACAATACAATTGCTTTCAACTGTTCTATAAGGATGGGAAATCTACTGAGTGTGTTTCATCTATGATACTACAGACCTCTCACTCCCTTTATCAATTTACTTAATTACTTCACTAGGACAAACATACTTAGTATATTTAAGTTGAATATGAATGCAGGGGGGTGGTGCAGAATGGAGTAAAATGTCCTTTGGAGCTTTGTTGCTGTTACTGAATAAGATCTACTCCTGAAGTGTGTTCATACATGTTATGCTCAACATACTTTCATATCTGTACAATTTATTTCACTCCATCTTCATATCTGTACAATTTATTTCACTTCATCATTATCTTTTAACATAATATTTCTTCCAAAAAGCCAATAATCAAGTTTGTTGTATTGGGAACCAATCAGTGAGGCCCAAGCCCATTGTCCAACGATAGTTACATATCCAAAATCATTCAAGTATGGATTTGAATGTATGTTCTTATGAAAACAAAATTGCTGTTCAGTTCACTAACATTTTTGTTAGTTGTAAATATTAGCTTGGATATAAAAATTACCCCCGCCGCAGCAAACCTGCCAACTAAGCAAATTTAAATTTGTCTGAATTGATTTTCAATTAAATATATTTAAATAACATTAGGTGTAATGAGTTCATGAGTACCTAGGTTTGCTGCTACAAGGAAACTAATAAAGTGTATTTTTTTGTAAAATATCAATAGCTTCGTATAAAATAAATAAATTTGCCAGGTTTGATCAAAATATATCCATAAACAAGCAAAAAACATTTTGTAATATTTCCCCTACTGTATTAAATATGTAAACCTAAAACGTAAAAACATTTATCAAAGTAATAACTTACAAGAGGTTCTACCCGCGAATTCACGGGTAAACAGAAGCCACCATTAAATTAATTTAATCAACTGGCTGGGTAGCTGAGTGGTTATAGTGCTCGCCTAGCAATCAAAAGGTCGCCGGTTCGATCCTGAGAAAAGTTAGTAGCTTTTTGATGGTTCGAAACTGGACCCAGTTGTTCCTGATCATTGGGCTTTAAATAAATGATCCTGACTAATGAAACCGCTGATCTTAGTCAGTAACAAAGCTACACAGGTCATCACACACCATTCTACACTCATCCTTCACTCATATTTGGGTTAAAATACGCACCTAGGTGGCGTTCCCATCTCAATAATTGATTGATTGATTGAACTTTGACTTTATATTTCATTTAACGGGCCCAAGTTCGAGAAATTGTCATCTGAAAAGATGTTAAAAGGAGTGGAACCTTCATACCTTACGTCCTAAGGTTGGCCGAGGTTGTACCTGAACACGCAGCTCTCTCTCACGACGTCTACTTTACTTTAATACTTTTCTATGAAATTGCGACCTGTTAAAGATCAGAGACAACCTCTTGGAATGAAGAACATACATGGTTTATTAATCTCATATTTATCATGTTTCGAGACTACAGATCTGTGCGTGGAACGTATCCAGCAAAGCAAGGGGTGAGCCGGTACAGTACAAAGGTGAACTGTACTGATAAAAGTTTGTGGCAGTGACCAGGATCCGAACCCATGACACTACTGCCTTGGGCCCGAAGTCCGCGACGCTACCAACTGAGCCACCGACTCACAAATTACCCTTTAAAATAATAGGGTTTAGCGAAGCAAAGCCCGCCGGGTAACTGCTAGTATCATATTTGAACGAATGGTGTTTTTGGCCTCTAGGGACGTGAAAATGAAAAAGTAAATCGGTCCCGGGACTAGGTCTTACCATGCCACCTACGGCAATAGCTACTTCCCTATAGGGGAATTCGCTAATATACACAATAAAATACAATGGTTATCTTCACTAGTACTGTTCACTGTTTACTCTAAGTGTGAGGACACTCACAATTGTTGTAAAAAAATATGGGTCACCTATTAAAGGTCACCTAATGTATGGGTTTGAAAAAAGCTGAGTGGGAACGCCGTTCTCACCCCACTACACCACTGGTGTAAGTACATTTGAACCACTTTCTCCTGATTTTCAATGTTTATTTCTCCAATAATCACAACAAAGACCTGTTTCACAAACCTTGTTTCGTTTATCGCAACCATTTACATACTATTTTATTACATTTACCTCCTTAATCAAAGGTAAATATAATTGGTTTGGCGATTCAAGCCAATTCAGTTTTTTTTCGCTATAGAGCACAAAAATTATGTTCCTTTTAAACAAGTTAAGTTTCAGTGTGGACACACATACAATAAGGACAAGTCAAGTGACACTAAATACAGTTGAACCTCGTTTGTACGAACCTCGATAAAACAAATTCCTCGATAAGACGAATTTTGTTAATCCCCTTGACACTTTCATATAGGTCAATGCTAAAAACACCTCTATACAACGTAGTAATTAAGTTAAAAACCTCCATAAGACGAATTTGTTTGTGATATGGGCTAGGACTGATTAACCTCTATACAACGAATATTCTTAGCACAAAACCTCTACAAGACGAACGTGACCTCTATAAGACGAATTTATCATAATCTTAACCTCCATAGTACGTAGTTTTCAAAACAAACAGAAGCTTGTCTCAACATGAAACCCCCACCCATCCCTCCTTCTTCCCCAGTCATTGTTTGGAGAAACCTCTATAAGAAGAATAACAGCAGCATTAAACCTGGATAAAACGACCCTCTTTATTAAGAATACCTCTATAGTACGAATTTTTCCCGTACCCCTTGAAATTCGTCTTATAGAGGTTCAACTGTACCATATAAGAGTTTTAACTCTCACAAAATTCACCCGTCCTGTCAACTTCCATTGAGCCGTCCATAGTTTTTTTTAGACAGTCTTTTCTCAACAAGTTCGGCCACAGATAGGTGAATTTATTTTGAGTTACACTCTATACATAAATCGTATAAAGAACATAAATCGACCAAGATGGAATTTTAAGCATCATTATAAATTGGTACTCCTATTGCAGGAGCAAAAAATCTTTTCTTCCTCAATAGCACTTCTGTTATGAAGTGATGGTGATGATAAGGCAGCACAAATTGAAAGACAACACAATTCAATTTCTAATAGTTTATTGTGGCTGTATTTTGTTTAAAGGTTTCTAGCATTCCTATTATTTGTCTTCATACAATATGTAATACTGAAATATGGCAGCCACGGAATCAAAACCTAAAATCTTATATGAGTTAAAGTGCCAAAAAACTATTATTAGATATTAAGATAATGGAATGTTACAATCCTCTAGTTAAGTATATATGAAAGCTGAGACTATGTAGGTATTGGTTATAAATTTAGGGAAAAGTCACTTTTCCCAAGATAGGTAACATGTGAATATAATAGGCTCAGCACTCTGATCTTTACCTTCGTTTCATAGTTGACCAAAAATGTATCAAGGGTATAGCAAAATTATCAATGTCCTAGCTAACAAAACAATAATTGCAGGAAAATTATAGCGTAATTGTGAATAATTTGGAATAAATATCACCTAAAAGTAGTTTTTGTCAACAAAAATTTGTGAAACTTAGTCATAATATAAAACACAGTAAAATAGAGTTCAATAGGCCTATTTAAAGCATGACGAACATCAGCTTACTGGTTGGTAAAGACTGGATACACAGGCCACTTAATTACGCCCCCGATTAAGATTAGAATGAACAGAGTGGGATTAGGGCACATTTTATAAGCAAAAAGAAAACTATTGAAAATAAGTGGCAGCAATGTCTAGCTATGGATTAATAAAGAGATGGAACAACAAAACTTTAAAACTCTTAGGAAAGCCAGAAGCAGAACCAATATCAATATCGCTAGATGACATAATGGTTATTGGCCAGCTTCTTGGATTGTTATGAAGTGTACAGTTGGGGTATGGTATAAAGAATGGTGCGCTAGAATCAGTGCATATTCTTTGAGCAAGTAAAAGCAGAAAATACTGAAAATTAGCAGTAGGGATGTCCAACTCTGGTATGGAAAATGACTCATGGGAAATGATGGGTTGATGAGCTTAATAAGAAGCTGTTGGAATAAGGTCAAGAAATGCTAAAATATACCTTTTCGATCAAATAATTAACAATGGGTAAACATACAAAATTTGATAAACAGTCTGTTCTTAGGTAAAATTGTAAAATCTTTAATATCCATCCAAAACAGGTTGTTTTAATACTCTTTTCCATTAAGAATAGATTTCACTTTACTATTCATTACTGGTAGCCTACTTTAATTGCCTTAACTAAATATTTTTGGTGAAAATTATTGCAAGAATCACTTTCCCTGTGCAAGTGAGCGCTGCAGTTCTGACTCGAATATTCTAAGCTAAATAATACATTAGGTTGGTATAAATATGTTATCACAGCCATTAAAGAATGAGCAAAACTTATGGTAGGTTCAACAAATCCATTTCTTTGAAGTAGTTCTCGGTTCGATTGTAAACTTCATTGGTCGACTCCAGCATCTCAGGGAGAGCGTCCAAGGCAGACTGAGTGTTTTCTCCACAAACCTACGAGAGAAAAAAACTAACTCTTA